CTAGATTCCATCCTAGACATATAGATGCCATTTTGCAATGGAATAAAATATAATTCCATTTTATTTGACACTCTATGGCCAGGTGCTTAACTCTTTATTGGTTGAAATATATAGTTATATGTATTTGTATTTGTATTTGTATTTCCCTTTATTTGTATGCCGCCCTTTTCCCTGGGGGGACTCAGGGCGGCTCACAGTTCAAAAGGGGGGGGGCTTAAATGTAGGAGGTCCAGGGCTCTTCGTGAATCTGTTTTAAAACTAAGACTGGGAGTAAAGATGTACTCTGCCATACAAACATTTCCATTGGGAAAGGAATAGTACCGATGACACAGAAAACCAACAGCCACACCATAAATCAAGAGCCTTATTCAGAAAGAAATAATCTAAATAAACTCAAAATACTTTGCATTTTAAAAAGATGTATTTTATTCATATGTACTAATCTGCACACAGCTGTGCACAAGACTGAAAAAAAGATCAGTTTGTAATATAGTTATACAGTATATTTTTTCAAGAGTAGCTTATGTGCAGCTGTTAGGATGTAAGCCTTCTTATTTTTCTCCTCCCATTAATGGGATTCTTCATGGACTAAAGAATCTTGTCTTGACTGGATTAAAAATAGTGCAGCTTCAATTTTTAGACACATTCCAATTTACAGCTCCAATTTATGCTAATCCTGAAAGAACTTTTCTGACACTAAGTAAAAAAAGTTATGTTTGCATAAGTATAGACACATAAAATATATGCTCAGTATAATATTTTATATATATTGTTAATGGAAAGAGAGATTTCAAAGAAGCTTGAGTTCTTAATTCTCAGATAATTTGTCAACGAAAGAAAGAAATGTCATTAGATTTAAATAATTGAATTGGAAAACATCAAGCACAATCTACCACGAATTTCCATATTTTTGTACAGCTGTCAGTGGGGTTCACACAGCAAAATGTTCCTAATGGATTGTATCCTGTGCTACCTAAAATCTGAATGTGCTAATTAGTTTGGAGGAGAAGTTGCTTATATTCTTTTTCCAAAGTGAGAAAATGCATATGTAACTCAAGTTATACTATTTAAAAAATGTCTTGAACCTTTGTTGAAATTCCTTGGTCGGGGCCATGGAGGTTCTCTGTATCCATTAATAAATAAATTTATCTTTGATAAAATTTGGATTTGTGATATGGTATTGTAAGGTTCTTTTTTCATGGAAAAAAAATCTCTATATAGATTTTTAACCTCAATCCAGCACAAATCTGAAAGCATGCTGGTTAAGTGTCTAGGATAGCCAAAGTCCCAAAGCTTGAAATTTATGAAAATTATTTTCCACAATAACTATTCTCACCATGATCAAAAATGCAATTCCAAAGCAAATATTCATCAATAGGATTACTAGACAATGAACTATCTGAAATATATATTCTTATTTTTGCATTTTAGTATACTTCTTTTCAAAATGAGTTATTCTGTATTGGATTTCAGACAGTTCTTCATTGCAACTTATACAATTTGAACCTGACCAAGTCTGAATGGAAAGCTCTTAAGGAAATATTCTGGACTTATATTTCTATATATATCAATAAGCTGTGCAGCATTTTCAGAATGCTGAAATTCCTGTAATAGAATTTTGAAATAAGCAAGAGCTTATCTTTTGAATAGTGAAGATCACAGACCTTGTTCTGTCAAAAGTAACAGAATGAGATCATCTACACAACCATTTATATTATCTGGCCTCATTTTCTATTGCAGAAAAACACATCTTAATCTTGCATTGTTTCCTATGGTATAAAAGGAGAAGAGCAGACAGGCCTCTGATCAACTAATTCTCCTTACATCAATGTTCAAGACAAAACCAACAATATAAAAAAAACCAGGAAATTTCATATATATTTGACCCTTAATGATGATTTCTGGGCACAATGAAAATGTGTAGAAATAAGATAAAAGCTATAGCTGTTTCAATTATGGTCAACTGAAAAAACCAACAGTACTTTTCACAAATTTCTAAATGGAAACTTGTGGAAAAAATAGTTGTCAGAATATGCAACTATATAAGCTTCTATATGGTGTGTGTAGCATTAATCTAAGAATTTTCACTTCTTCTATTGATTGGTATGGACTCATTCAGAGGAGAAAGACAAATTTTTCTATGTATCGCATTTTTGCTCCTAGATTAAAGTGATAAATTACTAAATAAAATGCCAAATGGGATTGTTCTGATAAGAAAACTGCAAGATGGGATCTTGATATGAAGAATATATGTTTCAAGAGGGGATGTGATGGCTCAGTGGTTAAAGATGCTAAGCTTGTCAGCTGGAAAATTGACAGCCTGGGTTCAAGACCCAAGCACCACGCAATGGGATGAGCTTCCATTCCATTCTTGCCCCAGCCCCTGCTGACCTAACAGTTCTAAAGCATGCAAATGCAAGTAGATTAATAGGTACACTTTGGTGGGAAGGTAACAGCAACTTTGGAAGATAGCCATGCTGGTCAAATGAGCACAGAAATGATCTTCAAACAGCATTGGCTCCTTCAGCCAGGAAAGCACCATGCCCTAGAGGCAGACATGATTAGACATAGATACCTTTACCTTTATATGTTTTAAAGGTGAAACAAAAGTAGTTTCAGCTTTCATTATAACATCATATTTTTTGTTCTTTTAGCATTAACATTCATGAGGAACTGAAACTAATTGCCGTATGATTTAGAAATCAGTGAAAACATGCCAATTTTTTTGCATGGCTATATTATAATATCTTTATAGAGTTTACTAACATTTCAGCAGGCTGATTCTCAGTGGAATGTAAAGATACAAAGTACAAGATACAACAAAAAAAGAGGGAAAAGAAATTGGTGACTAAGGTTTTAAGTGTGCTTCAGTTGAAGATATAAAAAGAGTATTTAAGGAATATTTTATACAATTATATTTATTAGTATCCTGCACAATCATAATCTGATCCCACCCACCCACTTCCCAAATTGTGAGCATTACCTTCACCACTGAGGTGCTGCTTAAAAAGAATAGAAAAAAAATCTCATTGGTTTTTGTTCTCTATTCAGTTACATTTCATTTCATTGTTTAGTCCTATTACCATTAAGATATTGGTTTTCTCCTTTAAAATTACAGGTAAAATCTATTATGGGCCTACTCAGAAATAAGCCAATTTGAGTTTAATGTGTCTATTCACATGTTACTGAGTATGGGGGAGGCAGTCTTCAATATTTTTAAAATCTTGCTAATCATAGCATCTAATGGGAAAACCGACGTCACAAAGAACTGTGGCAGTTTATCATTTAGTTCATGGCCACTCTACGACAGCTATTGAAAAATGCTTACTTAAACATCGCCTTTAAAAAAATTAAAAAATGGGGGTGGGGGCTAAATCAAATAAATGGCATAATCCTAGGTAAAAATGCAGAGCTTTCTGATACAAATATGCAGAAGAACCAAGTGTGTCTGTGTGCGAGAGATTATTTGATGTGACAGGTACTGCATCCATGCTTCCTCAGCTTAAATTTTTCTAGTTTAAAAAGAATAATCCAATTGATGAGTTGTTTGAAAGAAGTGTAAGGTTAATCTTTCCATTTTATACCAAGCAGAGATTGGCAGAATTCCAGCATTTTAATAAATGGAAGAGTAACAAGGTTGTAACTATTTTGTGTAGGCATATTGCTCTCAGACTGGGCAGCAACCTACTGCAGGGAAAATGTGTGCCAAGTGTTGCTCAAATCCTAAACTATTTTTAAAAATACAACATTAAAAAAACCTAAATTAATCAATATTGGAATACTGGAAATGTAGGTGCCACAAAGCCCTCTAAATGTTCCTGCTTATTTAACAGCAATGATACTTATATTAAATATTCAGCTATGAGTATTTAATTATAGGTAATGAAGGATTACCTTGATTACAAGGATTACAACCATTTGTTTAGGGACTGTTCAACGTGCTTAAAAAGTGACGTATGACTGGTTGTCGCATTTAGGATTGTTGTAGAAACCATGTGGCCACGTGATTGTGATTCAGATTCAAACAGGCATGTATATATGATGGTTGTAGCATCTAGAAAACATCTGATCACAATTTGTCAGTTTCCATCAAGAAAAATCAAGGGAGGAAGCCACTTAATGAGGACAACAAAAAGGGTTGTAAAGTCAGCCAAAACTCACATAATCACTTAGTGGTTCCAATTACTGTTTTTAAGATGGTGATACGTTGAAATTTGTTCTCTACTTTTCTGGGGGGAAACCCCCCCAAAAAGTTTTGTGTTTTATAAACTTTGTTCTCTTTCTTAAAATGTTTGAATATGGTGTTTTTGAGCTTGCTTGATAGTTGTCAAATAGTGGGGAATGTTTTTTTTTTAAAGAAAAAAAATACATATTTTTTCATCACTCTGTAGTCTACCTGCCCATTTTCTTGATCAGGAGAAAAATAAAATGGAAGGAATTCGTAACATGACAGGATTTGGAAATTTATCTAAAATGAAGGAAGCAATGAAAACTACAGATGCCTGAAAAGATAATTCATGCCTAATATAAGTGATCTCACATTCCACTTGCAATTGTAATTTTCATCTTTTGCATCCAAATCATATTAAGTGAAATTAATAACCATTCAGAATGGTTTTTAAACAAAGTACTAGCTGTTGGTCATTGTTTACATGGAATTGTTTGCATGAAATAAGAGGTGTGTACAAATTTATGTTATAATGAAGCAATGCTTTTCCTAAATATTAGAACAAGTATTATGAACAATTTAAAACTACCTACTTTGAGCATCATGAAATCTAGTAAATTAAACGATAGTCCCTTAGTGGCTGTTTTGTTGTACCATTTATAAAATATGGACTTTGACCACATCAACTTCGTACCATAATTATTTAGCTTTATTATGACATTTATTTGCTTTTTCCCCAGAATATGTCTTCTTTGAATTGGCCAATAACCATGCTAAAGTTCATTGATTGATTGGTAAAATATCTATCTGTATGCTTTTGCTTTCTTTACAGCTTAGGTGGTGAAGTGGGGAAAGCAAACGAGGGAAGCTACATAGGCAAACATTTTCGTATGGGATTTATGACGATGCCTGCACCTCAGGACAGACTGCCCCACCCTTGTTCAAGTGGTTTTACCGTAAGATCCCAATCGCTTCATTCTGTTGGAGGCACCGATGACGATAGCAGTAGCTGCTCCCGGAAGCAACCACCACCAAAACCCAAACGAGACCCCAATACCAAACTAAGCACGTCCTCTGAAACTGTAAATGCTGGAACAACAAGTAAGAGTATAAAGTTGCTGGACAGGACTGAAGGTAAATGCTGAACTCCTATTTTTTTATTCCTGGGGGGTAAAATTTGATATGTGATTCACTTACTGACATATATTCATCATAAAATAAAATGTTTGCAATTTGATGATTCAGTAATGTAGATGAGATCCAAAAGTAATTTTTTTTAAAAAAAAAACCATTTATGTGACTAATATGTTCCCTCTTCTTTCCCCTGTGCCCACAACCTGCCACTTTGAAGGATGGGAAAGACAATTCCTGAAAAGTACAGGAGTGCCAAGAATAATATTGGTTGTATAATTCAAACGATTTTCATTTACCCAGTATGCATACATTTAGCAGAAGAAAGCTGAATTCACAAATTTAAAAATTATTGAGAAGTTTTTATAGACATGATTTTTTCTTATTGTTGTTAATGCAGCTGCTAAGATGCTAGTTTTAAAGGTAAATGCCATACCAAGATACATTTGTTTGGCAAAGTTTCCTAAACAAAACTTATCCCTTTTAGCTATAAGGGAGCTTATCATTTAAAATTCAACAGTGAAAAGGTAATAAGAACAAGATACCAAAGGTAAATATGAACATGCACTATCATGTAAAATATTGGATTTATTTGGGTAGTGGAAAAAGATTAAATAAGAATAATAGGTGAAAAGGAAAGGTGGATTTGTGGAAAAGGAGAGAAGACTAAAGGAAAGAAGAGGTAGCATGGAATAAGAGGTCTGATAAAAAAAACCTGCAAGTTTGGTTGAGAACAAATTTTTTTCACTTCTGAAAAACAGAATCGATTTATGGATGGTTTGGTATAAAATAGTAAGAGTGCTATCACTAAAACGTGAGCATTTGTCATTCTTGTTCACCTCCGAACTAACCAGTGGCTAAGACGCTGAGCTTGAAAGGTTGGCAGTTTGGCGGTTCGAATCCCTGGCGCCATGTAATGGAGTGAGCTTCTGTTATTTGTCTCAGCTTCTGCCAACCTAGCAGTTCAAAAGCATGTAAAAATGCAAATAGAAAAATAATGACTACCTTTGGTTGGAAGGTAACAGTGTTCCGTGCCCCTTTGGGGTTTAGTCATGATGGCCACATGACCATGGAAACATCTTTGGACAGAGCTGGCCGTTTAGCATTGAAACAGAGATGAGCACCACCCCCTAGAGTCAGGAACAAGTAGCACATATGTTCAAAGGGAACCTTTACTTTAAATGCAATCTCCCCATTTTAAAAATAACAATATGACAAGGATAAAAACCCATTTATTATAAGTTCAATGCCAAATATTTTTTTAAAAATATAGCTTTCAGGTTAGCCTTGTAACCTCACCCTCCACTGAGGGTGACACATAAGATCCAGCTAGCAAATGCAAGTATGACAACCTGCATTTCAATGACTAATACAAGTAGGTAACTGTGTTATGATGTCATCATGTATATGATGTACTTCACCCCTTCTCACCTAAGGATGGCAGGTACTGACCACAAGGGCAATTAAAAAGAATTCCAAACTCAAAGAAGGGGAAAGATTGGCTTCAACCAAAGAGAAAACAAGCAATTAATGCTTCCTATTATATCATAGAACATAGACTTTCTTCCCCGGTAATATAAAGATAATTTTAGAACCAACATCAGGGTATTAATACTGTCATTGTTAAGATGATTTTCGCTGCAGAAAATCAACAAGGTAAGTTGTGGATCCAACTGAGTGTCATGCTTAATTAATGCATAGTGTGTCCAAATTGAAACATTTCTTAGCCTCTAACCAGTGTTGGAGACCAAGAACACTGGATACTGCAAGATTATTTTATGAAAAATAATCTAGCCAAGACAGTTGTTTGTGATGCTTTCTTCATTATATGATATCAATAAGGCAATGCAAACCCTTCAAAAAGAAATAATAGCGTTGGATAACAATGCAAATCCTGCTTAGATTACTTTAGTGCAATCTACACAGGGCTGCCTTGAAAAGCAACTGGAAATTGCAACTGGTCCAAAATGTGGGGGCAGCATTCAATTTTTGGTGTTCCATTGTTTGCTCATTATACATCACTGCAGTGGGAGCTGCACTGGCTTCCAGTTTCTTTCCAGGTGCAATTCAAGGTACTGGTTATCACCTTTAAAGGCCTAAATGGCACAGGATCAGGTTATCTTCAAGTGCATTTTTCTTGTTCCACTAAGTTTGAAAGATTGAGCAAACATCCAGGACAGATCCTTTAAATATTGCCATCTTATGGCACCTACCTTCTTGGTAACCCAATCCTTATCTTATGGCATCATACCTTTTTGGAAGCCCACTCCTATCCTTTGGAAGACCCTTTCCCCTGAAATACAGAAGAGGTAGGCCCTTATCTTCCAGCCTTCCAAAAAGCATTAAAGATCTGGGTTTTCCCAGAAGCAGTGGTGACATTAGTACCAAAAATATTCTTTGCGGATGATGGGTATAAATTATGGTTAGCTAGTGGTTAGCTATCCTGAGAGGTTCTGTAGTTTTTCCCCACTGCTTTTAATTCTTTTTCCTGTTGTTGCGGGTACCCAGAGTTATGTTTCATAAGATGGGTAACACTATATACATACATACATACATACATACATACATACATACATACATACATACATACACACACACA